ACACTGTTTTCCACAGTGGCTGTACCATTTGCTCTCCCACCAGCAATGAAGAGGGGGTTCAATTTCTCCACATCCTGGCTGACACATAATTTCCTATTTCTTTTATAATASCTATCCTCATCAGTGTGAAGTGGCATCTTGTGGTTTTTRTTTTTTTTAAAAGAGAGAGAGAGAGAAAATTTTTTAATATTTATTTTTTAGTTTTCAGCGGACACAACATCTTTATTTTATTTTTTATGTGGTGCTGAGGGTCAAACCCAGGGCCCCGCGAAATGCCAGGCGAGTGCGCTACCGCTTGAGCCACATCCCCAGCCCATCTTATAGTTTTGGTTTTTTTTTAAAGAGAGAGAGAGAGAGAGAGAGAGAGAGAGAGAGAGAATTTCTTAATATTTATTTTTTAGTTTTCGGTGGACACAACATCTTTTATTTTATTTTTATGTGGTGCTGAGGATCCGCATGCCAGGCTAGCGCATTACTGCTTGAGCCACATCCCCAGCCCACCATCTTGTAGTTTTAATTGTCATTTCCCTCATGATTAATGATGCTGAACTTCTTTTCATCTGCCCAGTGTATTAACTTTTGGGGGGAATGGGGTACCAGGGATTGAACTCAGGGGCACTCAACCATTGAGCCACATCCTCAGCCCTATTTAGAGACAGGGTCTCACTGAGTTGCTTAACCTTGCTTTTGCTGAGGCTGGCTTTGAACTTGAGATTCTCCTGCCTCAGCTCCCAAACTACTTGGATTACAGGTGTGTGTCACTGCACCCAGCCAGTGTATTAATTTTTTWAAAAAACTTKTTTTTTAGACATTGATGGACTTTTATTTTATTCATTTATTTATACGTGGTGCTGAGAATCGAACATAGGGCCTCACACATGCTAGACAAGTGCTATCCCACTGAGCCATAACCCTGGCCACAACCCCTCTATTAACTTTTAATATATCATTTCTCAAACTAGAAATACTTCTGTTCTGCTAAGAAGCACTAACATAATATTATATCATAATATAACTAGAGGGGCCTAAAAGAATTTTGACAGTCATAAAATTCAAGATCCACAGACTGTACATCTTCCCCCAAATTATATCTTTTCAATTTTAAGTCATTAAAAGTGATCACTGGCTCATTTTGGGGTTGCTGGATGAAATTCTAAATCACTGGACAGTGAACAGCATTGTATTAATGCAGACCACCACATAAACGTCACTTTGACATTTGTTAAAGTTCACTCAGCTTTATTTTTCTTAAAACAAAAATACCACACACATTCCATTCCCATGAATTTTTTAAAGTAAGATCTTACTAAACATCTAAGAGGAGCCTCTAAAATATGAATCAATAAAAAAAGGATACTGAGCATCATTTATAAGAAGTAAAAAAAATAAATCTAAATCATTCCTCTTGTAACATATGATCAAAATGAACACTGTAGTTAACCTTRCTGCAAACTGTACAACATCTATGGACTTTCTGATAGCTGTACTTTTTATCTTTAATTTATCTTCCAGGTAAAGCATTATACATAGAGGCTAAAAATGTTGTGATGTCAATAGCTGTCATCAACTAAAAATTCAAGAATGAGATCGATGTCTTCAGCATTTGCCAACACAGACGGAAATCAATTGTCATAAAACCTCAGGAGCTAACATATTTATTGAGTTACATGAACATATTTATAATGTTAAGCTTCACTGCTCCTGAAAATATTAAGATCTATCTGTAACTCTACTTTAGAAATCTGCATTTTAGGTGTTACATTTCTATAGGACTAAAACAGTCAAAAGGCTTGTTAGTTCACTATCATCTTTTAATCAAGCTGGAAACAAAAAAAAGAGACGAAATAAAAAATAACATTGATGTGAGTATTCACGTCGTGCCTGAGCCACATCAWTGGCTGGGTGTGCAAGAATGAGCCAGACGTCCCTCAAAAAAACACCAGAGGGAAAATAAGGAGAGGAGAGTTGACCTCAGGGAGTACATGATCTAGGAATTAACCAGCAGTGGCTGATGGTTGGCCAGAAAGGGAAACATGCAGATTCTGGCAAAAGAAAAGAGTAAGAGGAAGGTGGAGCTAAACCCTAAATATGAGCATCAGCAAGACCAAAGAAGCTTGGGGGAGATGTGGGAGGAGGAGGGAGCTAACGCTCCAGGAATCACTGTTAGAGGGACAACTAGCTCAGGGCTGCCTGTGAGGTGAAGCAGCCAGGCTCTTCCATGACATGTTCTTGTCTAATGGAATTTAATTAAGTATCTAGAGCTGAGTTCATTTGACAGGAAATAGAGGGGATAAAGGAAMGTCTCAGAACCATGATGAAATATTGCAGCCAGTGTAGAATGTGGGACATTCAAGATGAATGACCTGGTCTACTAAAAAATTTAATACCATTAAATATAAAGCACAGGACAACTAGATCAGAAGAGCCAGGGATCACAGCAATCAAATGCAATGCTTGGTGGTCCTTATTGAATCCTAGTTTGAAAGGAAAGAAAAATATATACATAGAAGACACTGGTAAAAAAATTGAGAAAACTGGGTGACAAAATAGTTACTAGAAAACTATTGCTACTTTTGTTAAGCAGGCTAATGATGTGATGTCTATCCAGAATAAATATCTTTATTTTTAAAATATATAAATGGAAACACTTGTTGGTGAAATGTAATGATGATTGCAGTTCCCCTGAAGCAAATGTGCCACAATGTTTTAAAAATCTCAAGGGTGGGGATATGTGGGTTCACTGTAATATGTGTTCTACACATTTTAAAATGCTTATAATAAAAAAATTAACCTAAAAAATAAACTTCAGAAACRTTTGCCCAGATATAAGTATAATGTACTTTTTAAATTGATGCATTATAATTATACATAATAGGGGGTTTGTTATGCCATATCATATATGCATATAACATAATTTGCTCAATCTCATTCCCCAGCACCTTCCCTTACCGTCCCTGTCCTCTCCCATCTACTTGCTCTACTCTACTGTTCTACCTTCTATTATTGTTATTTTAATTAGTGCATTATGTATATATGTACACATATACACAATATACCTTTTTAAAACTGAAAGCACAGCAGAATTTTTGTGCTGTGTAAAAGATAGAGGAATTTCTGAGTATTGTTTTAATTATCTTCTTTTAGAAAGAAGCTCACTCCAAAACACTAGAAATTGCCTAAAGAGATCTATAACTACACATCCATGCTTGTTTTTGAAATATGTCTTAAGGATCTAAAACTGATACTCCTTTTTGGAATTCCTCCCACCAGCTCCAGCCAATCCCAAACAAAAGGGTTCCCTTCAGGATGAAGTCAAGCCTAATCAATGTCAAGATAAAGGACAGTTCAGAAAGAGTTTGAAGTCTATTGGCAAAATATCCAGTTCTCAGTTTGGCTCACCTTATGGTGTTAGTCAGCATTCTGTGATGGTGACAAAACACCTGAGATAATCAACTTATAAGGAAGAAAGGCAGAGGTTTCAGTCCATAGTTGATCTGCCTCATTGCTTTTGGGCTTATGACAAGGCAGAATATTATGCAAAAAGAACATGAGAGAGGAARCTGCTCACCTCCTGACAGATGAAAACAAAAAGAAAAGGAGGAAGGGGCCCAGGGTCCCCACATTCCCTTTAAGGCATGTCCCCAGTGACCTAATTCCCTTCCACTAGGCTATACCTAATAAAGTTTCCACCGCTTTCCAAAAGTGCCACATGGCACCAAGCTTTGAACACAAGGACTTTGCAGGACACTTACCAAATGATAGCACTCATAGAATACTGCTTTCTTAATAATCAACATGGTTGTACKTTTTCCTTTAGAAAAAGGAAAATAAATCAGAAATGTAATGGGAAAACCAAAAAATGCCCACAGAGCCATTCTTAGCACTGAGTTTCAGTAAATGGGAGAGGACAAAAGGGGCTCTTTCTCTTTTTATTTGGAGGAATTCAAAAATATTAAAAGGTATCATATTAATTTAAGTTGTAACTGCTATAGAAAGCATTAATTCCATAAAATTGTGAAACCAAGCATGGAAAAAGTCTCACAAATGTCACATTTTACAAACTCATCCACCACAACTATTAGAGATCAAAAGCTCCTGCTATGTAAAGTTATACAATATTGCCTTCTACTTAAAATCCAGCATATTTTTTAAACTATCACTTATTCAAAGAATCCTAATTGTCACTAAATTTACAAATTCCAATYCTGCAGTGCACACCTCAGTTACTTGTTTCTTTCTACTGCTGTAAATATTTCACACAAAAATCTATGACACCAGAGAATTTGAAWGGAAATACACGTGAATGTCATGCAATGGCTTTTCCAGAGAACTCAAATCAGAAATTGTAATAGCTCCAACATACCTCCCCCTCTCTTCTTCATGCCTTCCACACAGACTCCTTTCCCATTTCCAGATATACTGGGGCAACCAATATCATATTACTCTGAATTCTCATCTTGGCCTTGAAGCCAGGTAGGAGAAGATGTGACAGAGCTAATCTACCTGGCCTTTCCCACTCATGCTAAAGACTTTGCTCACATTAGCATGGRGCAGCCCAGCTTACACATAGCCTGGGACAGACGGCATCTAGCAGAGGTGAGATATGGTCAAGAGGTTCAACTATGCCCAGCTTTAAGCAACCCTTATACAATACATTTGCATAATGCATAATGATAAGACAGAAAGCTGAAAGTTAAGGACTCTGTGCACTTGTCCTTCTTTCCCCAGGTGTCTGTGACTCTCCCTGGGACATCCAGCCCTCTGCCTGGCATTCTGTCCTGAATGATGAGGATTCCTTGCCAACAGCTGCAAAGAACATCAATCACCTGTAGGCAATGTCACTCATCTCCTCGGAGACACCTGAGAAGGATAAGTGTGACAAGAAATGGTGCCAGGGACTACTCCTGTACCTCATTTGACTTCACCTGGTGGAAAACAGTGAGATCAGAATGTGTTAGAAAACAAGCCAGACATTCCCCAAAGGGTCTGGCCAGACCTACCTGTCTTAGGTCCAGAGTGATTGTGACCCAGTGATACTCTCTCCCATTTTGAATGCTGGGACTTTGCCACCAGTTGTTGGTGCCGTCTATCGCATGGGATATTGGGTGGCGTTCTGTTAAGAGAAAATAAAAACAGGCATTCCGCTCAGCTCCTGAATTTCTAAAAATTATAGAGCTTTTAAACCCTCATGGGTTTAAAAGCATGGCTTCCTGAGAGAAGTCTTCAGTTGTCACTTTAGGGAAAAAAAAACAAAACAACAACTTTAAAACACAAAGATCCAGTTTTCAAGATTCTGTTCAACTCACGGTTCATCTTTGCCTCTGCAGAATCCCTTTGTCTCAGCTGATATTTATCTTTCAGCCACTGGGATCAGGACCAGGTTGAACCATCCCACGGGTGGGAATGAGGTGCAGCTTGGAGGGAGAGCACACGAAGGCCCTGGGCCCCACGCCAGCACCAAACATTATGTTAAATTAAATAATAAAATAAAATGCATAGGAGCTGCACTTGCCTTTGGGGTTCGAGCTGGTACTGTCACAGACCCGGCACTGGGCATTGCGTACAGGGCGGCCGGGCACGTGCTCCACGAGTTTGCAAAACATCTCGGGCCCCTTCTCTCCACAGGTCGCGTTGGCACTGATGTCAGCATGGCTGGCCAGATTAAGAATGGCAGGGAACAAACCTGAAAGTCAAAGATTCACCAAATCAGCGTGTAGCCWCCCAACCCACTTCCTAGGTCAATCAAGGAGAGATGGCAAAACCAAGCACGAGATGAAGGCAGCCTTCCACAAAAGCAGGATACACCGTCTGGTTTCCCTGATGTGAAATGCTAGGACAAGCAAAACTCATGTATTAGAAAAATTCAGAACAAGAATGCTGGCTACCTGGGTGGAGATTGACCATGAAGGGACACAAGGGAACTTTTCTGAAGTAGAATGTATCTTGATGAAAGTCTGGGTTTCCCTTGCCTATGCAGTTGTGAAAAAAAAATCATAGAATGAGTACCCTTAAGGTTTGGGTAGATTTGACTATCTTACTATATGCAACTTTTACCTCAAATAATAAAATAATCATAAACAAATATTGAGGTAATGCTGAAATGTTTAAGCATGAAGTGTCCTTAATACCTTCAAGTCAYTTTGAAATGCATCMAAAAATAGGCTGGATTGATGGATAGACAGACAGACTGGTGTGTGGATAGACTGTAGATAAAGAAAATAGAGTGAATTGTTAATTGTTGAATCTCTGTGGGAGAATAAATTTTCACTACACCCTGTYTTCTACTCTTCCTTTTTTTTTACAGGGGGGTGCATACTAGGAAYTGAACCCCAAGGGCACTTAACCATTGACATACATCCCCAGTCCTCTTTTTATTTATTTTTTTATTCTGAGACAGCTTCTCCTTAAGTTGTTGAGGCTGGYCTTGAACTTGGAATCCTCCCGCCTCATCCTCCCAAGTCACTGATGTAACAGGCTTGCACCACAGCACCTGGAACTTGCTAGTTTTCTGATAGAAAATTTCCATAATAAAAATGTTGGGGAAATAGGTTTCAAGATAAATTTCAAATGTACATGCTGACCAGTGAAATCTACAGACCTCGCCCTGAGAAGAAGGGCATCTCTATTCACTTTGTTCCAGTTGCAATCCTCTGGTAGGACTCACAGGTTTTCCGGTAATTGTGTTGGATTTTTTTCTCTCTTTCTTCAGTTTCCTTACTGCCTGTTTTCTTTGGTGAACAAAACTTTAGAATACAAAGATCCAATTTTCAGATATTTCTTCAACTCATAATGAATCCTTGCCTCTATAGAGTCCCTTTGTCTCAACTGATTTTTATCTTTGAGCAGCTGGGATCAGTACCAGGTCCAAACTATTCAGAAAACATGATTGTAAAAAAAGTAGATTCTTTCGAGATTTAACTTTATCTTGTTAAAAGAGGATAATAGCAGTGAAAATTCTGGAAATATGGAGAAACTGCGGCCAAAYGGCACGTGATGTGGAGGAGGCGTTCCACATGAATGGGCACTGCAAACAGAGCACAGGAGGATCTTAGCTTGGTGAGGTTCCTCTGCAGTACTTGACCTTCAAAGAGCACAGAACACAATCTTTTCTTTGTAAAGGACATATAGTTAATACTATTTCTGAAAAGTTTATTTTCCCCTGACATTTGAAATATCACAGTATAATTTTAGTTACATAGAAAAGATGCATGTTTTTGATTTTTATTTTGCAGGTAGTACCTAATGTGCTTGATGACATTTTCTAATATAAACATTTTAATCATTTAAACTGAAAAACAAAAATGGTTATTTTTGTAAGAGCTGCTACATTAAAACCTACTGTGTACCTATTAAAAAACACTTWTTAGAGTTGAGAGTGGTGCATGCCTGTAATCCCAGCAACTCAGGAGGCTGCGGCAGGAGGATTATACCTGGACAATTTGCTCACATCTCATGTACATTCATTGAGCATCGTTTTGGTGAGTAACAGCACTAGTGGTCACCAGCATCAGGTAGTTCTTTGTTCTGAGAGGGTTTTTAAGATTTCCCAATGTAGGCTGGAGGTGTAGTTCAGTGGCAGAGCACTTGCCTATACCATGCTAAGGACGTGAGTCCAATCCCCAGTACCACAAGGAAAAAGAAAAACAGAACTTCCCATTTTTCCTTACCTTACTGTCTTCTACACATACTTTCAATGAAAAGACAAATTGCTTTGTTAGTATGGTGTGCAAAAAAAAAACCTTTTAAGTTATTCATTGGTCAATTTCATTAAAATGTGTAGGTTGTCTTTCCCTAAAAGTAAATCTTCCTTCTCAGAGAAGCTTGTAATTGGGGGAAAAAAAGGCACTAAAAATCCTGCCTTATTCTTATTTTATATTATTCTCACTTCACAGAGTAATTATTATTTCCATGCTAGGGCATGTGACCAACATCTGCTGGAAGAAGAAAGAAAGTGGGAAATAGGTACTGGAAAAAGGCATGTTTTCAAAATAATTTTTTAAAAAAGTCCCTCAGGCTGCTGAATCATTTCAAAGAAAACTAAAAAATTTCAATAGAGGGTGACTCCGGGGGCATCAAGCAGGAGGAAGGAGAGGAAATCCTGGATCCAGGCAGGGCATTAGGGTCATGACCCTACAAAGAAAAAGAGTTTGGTTTTAGATACACCAAAAAATTATCAAAGGCAGGAGGGCAGGAGCTTGGCGCACATCTGACACTGTTTCTCCCAGTACTTGGTCRCCCGTTTAATAATTTAAATTATACGTTCTTTGTGGAGAGACACTGTTACTAGAGTTAATGCTGCTGCAATACCCATTGGTACCTTTACCTCCAAGTCACAGGACAGAATCTTTCCTCCAGTCATGGATTTAACCAGCAGCGAAAGACTTTATTACATCAAACTCCACTGAGCATGAAATAAATTCCTTCTCATTCACCAGTTGCTTTTGTGTTCAGTCCCCTTTCTTTATGACCTGAGTACACAGGGCCATGTTCATCTACTGGAAAGTTCCCTATTAACATTAAGGGAAAACTTGCCACCAAGCAGGTGAACAATGCCACTACAGGAGCACAACAGAACATAATCTTTTCTTTGTAAAGAAAGAAGACACGTCTAMGTAGTTTGAGAATTCACTTCTAGAAGTTTCTGGGTTTTTGTCCAGCACAGATATTTTCCCATTTTGAAAATAAAATATCTAAAATGTTGATTAGGCCAAAGTCTCACACTACAACAATCTCTTCATCAATATTTTCCCAATAATTCCGAGCCAATGGTTTAGAGCCTTAATTCAGTTGTGTATAAGAAAAGTGCAAGAGTTTTATTTTTCCCCATTTTTGAAAAAAAAGTTCTTGAGTTCCATAAAATGCTATATTTACCTAACCTATACTCAAAATCAATAAATATGATAATCAGCAAAGACAATGATTGGCAATTCTGACCTAAAAGATCTGGCTCAATATTTTCAGATCATTTTTTCCCAGAATGAAATAATGGATTATGAATATTATAACTGAAGGGACCTCTAGTGTTAGGAGTTTTTATTTTGTAAAATTATCCAAGCTATTAATTCAATCCATGGAGAAATCAAGAAAAGTAAGAATTTGTGAGGGAAACAGAGATATCTACTCACTCACAGATTTACATGTGTGTGTGTATGTGTGTGTGTGTGTGTGTGTGTATATATATATATATATACATATATATATAATTTTGGGGGGTGCTATTGATCAAAATCAGGGCCTCACACATAGTATGCAGATACTCTGTCACTGAGCTGTATCCCCAGCTGTCAAAGTATAATATTTAAAATGCAATGATACTGCAAATAGATTAGTAGAAAATTCTAGGGCAAAAAACCCAGTCAGGCCTGATCCAGGCTGTACTATAAGATCATGTTTCCAAACAGGGCAGGTCTAGGATTCCTTTAGTGGCTCCTCTCGTTGATTTACAGATCAATTACAATTTCCTTCCCTTCATACCTTTCATATATATATATATATATATATATATATA